GGGGTGTGTAGTTGTGTGTGTGTGCGCTAAGGTGCAGGTCAGAACCAATCAATACACTTTAATCAGGAGGTTAAAGACCCTGAAGTGGTTCGAAAGGTGTGGGGAAATCAGAATGAATGACTGGATCAGCACAGTTGTGGCATGAATACGTCTGTCTGGATCCTTAGAGCACAAGTTATTTGCTCCATCTGATAGGTTTCCCACACCTTCTCAGTCCATATGTTGGGGGGTCAGGCTTTAACCACTTAATTGAAATACATTTAATTACTGCTGCAATATTTGTAGGAGATATTTCGTAGCTCTTCCCTCAATGCCTTCTGGTATCGTCTAGTATTGCCACCTTAGCATCCTTTGTGACATTTTGATGGAATTCTACATTAAGGGACCTCAAACACTTCCTCCCAGAAATGTCTTAGTTTAGGACACGTCCAAAACACATGGGTATTGTTGCCCACTTGTGCACCACAACTTCTCCAACATCTATCTGAGTTTGTTGGGCTCATTTTAGCTACTATTTCTGGTGTTCTGAAAGATCTTGTACTTACCTTCCATTTGAATTCCCTCCATACACTTTAGGCAGTGACTATTAAGTATTTTTTAATGAAACTTTTCTGCCTTTTTTATAAGTTAGGTCTTGACAACTTGTAAGTGTTATTTGTTTCTCATAGGAGACACACTAGGCAAGAGGAAATGTTAAAAAGAATACTGATTTATTATATTCTATTTTAGATTTTATGAGTTTGTGTGTATGTTTTTTCTCAATGTGTATGACTTGACAGGCACTTAGCTCTTGTTCTTACTGCACATATCCAAGCTCAATGTGGTGCTCTGTTTCCTGTAAAGAAACCTGTTGCATCAAAATCTGCCTGGCAACTGATGACATAACAACTGTGGCTTCTCTAAATCAACAGCGTTTGTCTAACTAGATGTACTGTAGTGGGTGCTGTAAGTACCTACAGTATAAAATACCCCAACCAGATGAACTCACACATTATATTATTTAGGTGTTATGGTACTATAGCTTTGACAATATTTTGTGTAATTAAGAAAATGTGCCGTTGGTTTTCAATTAAAACAATTAATCTGAGAAATATATTTGCCAGTCTCCTGTGAGCTTCAATGTTAAACTTATGTTAAAAATAATTGAAAATACTACAAAATACAAAAGCACTATTAACAATAAGTGATATTATCTAGTTATCGAGCAAAAGAACAAACAAATTCTGTTGTGAGTATGTGATGGGTTTACATTTTATATTCCACAGTTTAATATAGCAAGAAAATCTATTTTTTTTAATTACAAAAAAGACTTACCTAACATTGAATAAGTATGTGGTTGAAACTTAAAGAGGACATTACCCACATGTCAACCTGTTTCCACTGAAGGCTGAAAATGTCTTGCTTGTATTTACAAAAGCATTTCAATACGGAACATTCTGTATTATTTTCAGGAATCATCCACATGAAATCCATCAGAAAGCAATATATAGTATCAGATAAAGGGAATCAATACACAACATGACTGAGTTGACCAACAGTCTTTATTTGGATCTGAGTGTTGTAAAGTATTAGTACAATTATTTTTAGAGGTTGCATGGTTAGAATAAAATGCAAAATGCATTACATAACCTTGTACGTATTAACATACAAAATACCTCCGTTACACACCATAAAGAACAAAAAACAAACAGTCTTCAAACCAGGATGACAACATGCTCTTGCAAAGTTCAGCTTCTTATGTAGCTAAATAAATGGTTCTACGCAGCATTCTCATACATACACTACATTTATTGATCCCGAATCAAGAATGCAACACACACTCTTGGAGACAAAGTTGGGTCATTCATTTCCAAAATCAGATGTCAACTATTCCAAGATACTTTTGAAAAAAGAGTATTGAAATATTGACAAAATAGGTTGATCTGGGTCAAACTCAGAACATCCCCTCCCTGTAGCGGTGGATCAGCTCGGATACATCCTCCTTACACACCTTTATCCAGCCATCCTCCCGCATGTGGTACACTAGAAAAACACACACACAAAACACAGATGAGCCTCACATATACATGGTGCCACCAGTTTACCCTAATCAAGTTCTCACAGCTTTATACTAAACATTTAAGGACTGTGCAATATGCACGTCTTTTCTCATTCATAATTCTTCTGTGTGCATGATGTGCTTTATTGAAATAGGTATCAGTAGAGACAAAACAGGAATCATGGGGAGAAATAGAGATAGGGAACAACATTAGTTATAGGTATACACTGTTATTTGACACTTCATTCTTGTTGGCATTGTTCATTAATTTGATTTCTCGTTCGTTTTGTGCCAATTAACACTTTAACATGAGTGTACGGATGTGGTTCGGGGTTGTGTGAGAGCGTTCAAATGTCTGTTCTTGTTTATTTTATTATATTGATTGCTTTGTGTTGCTTGGATTTGTTTAGTTTCTGTCTTTCATGTTTTTGTGTCCCTTGATCTGCTTGAAAACTAAATTATGAAACTATCATATCCTTAAATTAATAATGAAATTATTACCACAAAACAATGGTTGAGGATTATGTCATATTTTTTAAATATTTGGGATGATGAAAAGTCAGAGGAACACAAAATTGTTTAAAATCATCCTGAGGGGGGCATGAATTTCATGGTAATCCCTCCAAAAGTTTTGGGAATATTGAACTCAAACACAAAATGTCAACCTCATGGTAATTCTAGAGGGAAAGTCTAGGGATCGAGGAAATACGTATGAACATTCCATTCAATAGTTGTTAAGATTTCTGACTGGAGTAAAAAATCGACCCACTTTACTTACAACCATAGTGTGGCAAAAAAAAGAACAAATTGACAGAGGTACAAGATATACTTTAAGTTAAGTATACTCACTGTTGACAAACCCTCCAGAGTAGGCGTCCCTGTGCGTAGCGTGAGCGATGCCCCGGCGGCCCAGTTCATATGCCTCCTCCACCGTCATGTCCTCCCGGTAACCGCTGTCCACCACACCATAGGCGAAACTGCTACCACAACCGGTAGAGAACATACGGCCGGACAGACGGGTCGCGTTATCGTCCACATAGTACAGCCCAGGACCCTGCAGAGTACAGTCATCACATGAGGTTTGAGCCGCAGGCAAGTTGATGGTTTCTGTCCATGTGGTTCCTTTTATGCGTCATATTGAAGTGTAATAAATATTTGAATATTTTGTCCTTTTATGTGTTGGATCCCCATGTGATATGTTGTGATTTCTGCATGCATACAAATATTCGACTTAAAACAGTTTAATATCATTATAAGTCAGTACAACAAATGATGAGGCTTTCATATGACAGGCATCTAAAAAGAAACAGGAAACATCCAATTTGAGCATCCAGCATTTCTACAATCTCCTTGCTTTTACTGCAACCCAAAACATGACACACCTCTACTACCACAGTGAGAACTTCTCTATAATCTAAACAGATTATAATGGTTGCATTGCTGATTGTGACACACACACACACACACACACACACACACACACACACACACACACACACACACACACACACACACACACACACACACACAGCTAACCTCTTTGTCCCATCCGCAGATCATGCTTCCCATAGAGAGGCCCATGCCTCTGTAACCCACCATCATGTTAGACAGCAGCTTGGAGGAAGCAGCCACTGAGATCCTGTGGTTGTTCCTCAGCCTGTACAGCCTGGAAGAAGAAAGAAAACAAGGTACCAATCAATTACCAAGAAAATCCATTCACAAATTACAGTAATCAGTCACACAGGTGGGTCAGATTGGACTGAATTTGTGGCTTTCAAGAAATGAACTTGAGACACCTTTATTTTATTTAGGTAGAAGTTTTATATGAAA